CAACCACACTTGGAGTGGGGATTGTCCGTAGGTGGATTTTTGACACGGGTCTTGCCCGTGTTGAGATTGCGCTGGAACCCCCATTCCCTATACTACTACTGTATCACGTCCGCTCATGGTTGGTAGGCCAAACTATGATAAACAAAGTAACTTATATATGCTTACCCTGGCTGTGGTACTTCTTTTTAAGTAAATTTGTTCAAGTAACTATAAATGTCAGTGCGAATTAAGGACAATTCTACTAGTTTACCTTCGGTAAACGTAATGCGACTGAGAAAGTGAAAATTCAAACAACGGAAGAAATCAAGTTGGGCTTAAATTACGACTCATAAGATTTCATATACTTCCTCGAGGTCTTTAAGTCGAGTTTCAGTCGCGAAAACGTGGCATGGCGAAAACGAAGTGTCGACTATCGAAAGCTAAAGTGACGGCTTACCATAAGCCACGAAACGAAACGAAACGAAATGAAATGACACAATAAACTGCGAAACGTATAACTATGTATAACTTATAAAGTTTAGCGCGTTATGCTTCACGGTAGATCGCAAATAGTAGTAAGGCATACTGTATGTAACATTATACAATAGTCCGGCGTTTAAAATACACAAAAGACCTTCACCATCAAACAAAGGTGTATGTATTATAATTTGTTTTTATAGCAGCAAGTTTTTAGTTAGCAAGTAAAGCAGTGCGTAAGTCTATTGGTGGTGCACTTGGATAGTTGGGAGAACACTCTGATAGCTAGGCATTGCATTAAGCATTGACCATTGCTTAAGAAATCAAATAAACCGGCACTGTAGTAACAGAAATTAACAACACAGGTAATCCAAACTCCACATAACAATACTATCATATAAATAATATAATGATCATGGTTACCATGATTCTGTAAAACGTCTGAGAAGAGTCTGGGTACGAGAATGGGTTTTTCCAAGAAATACACGATGCATGCCAGCTGTGACGCTGTGGGGAAGTAAGAAAATTCTCTTCAAAGTGATATGTTAATAAAAATTGGTATAGTTCCGCAGYAGTTTAAAATATGTGCCGTTTGTAACATTCAGCATCCAAAAAGTATATTTTAGAATCGACAGGCAAAAGTATCATAACTCAATAATTTCGAATTCTGTTAGCCAACTGGTTAAGATCGAACTCAAGGGTAGAGTCAATTATGTATTTTCTCGGAAACCTATTATATATTCGTAATGATGAAAAGGTAAATTATACACCATGAAAAAGATGAAAAAACCTACTGACGTTTCGGACGCTAGTCCTTCGTCGGAGTATGTACACTAGTTTTTAGCTAAGTAGTTATATCTTCTTTATATATTCGACAGATCGAACTCACGGATAGAGTCAATTACGTATTTTCTCGGAAACCCTTTGATTTGTCGTCTACTCTAGAACCAGACGAAAATGTGCTTTTGAAATCAAGCATAATAACTATTCGAAGAGTCTAAACCAAGGACACCCGGTTTGTCTTCCCCTTCGAATCGAATTGAATTCCCGCGTTCCTACGACTCGACTATTTAGAAAAAAATAATCATCTAGAATATCAGTGAACTAGATTTTACTGACGACGATTCTCAAGATAACGTGAATACTAATCCTAACAGTCTTTTTCGAGTAAAAGGTCCCATTCTATAAATTTATTGTCTGATTACGGCGTCTTAACCAGAAACACTGGAGAGCTAGCASAGCGACATACACCATAATTGAACATCTGAAAGACTGGAACATAGTGAAGATACATGCATACGAACGTTGTAGAGTCACAAKCGAACAACGAACTTAATTGGGGGACATCGAGTCAGAAAACATGGAAGGTTTTTTAAGAGACTTTAGTAGGAAGAACTCGAATATCGGGCACTACATGGAACTACTGTCAATCAAATAAATCRTTATATACATTCATAGTTTCATCCGTTCTTAAGGACAGTCGTTACCGATATATTTGGTTGTCATGATAGTAGTTCCATGTAGTRCCCGATATTCGAGTTCTTTCCACGAAATAGGGAAATCATCGCTTAACCGGTTTCGACTGGTTAGAAAATGTTCTATTTATAACACTTACTTAGTCCTGKTTCTTGAACAATGAATAAATTCCTCTTGATTAGTGATTTATTCCTTTACATATAAACACCCAACYTTTAGAATTATTCTTTAAAAATATCACCGCCAGGTACCAGATAGTGAAAGATTCGAGTTCGTTGTTCTCGGAAGATGCATGATCACATGACATCGATCACTTCCGAGAAAGCACTCATCCAATGATGTATTAATCCAACCGAGAAAATTTAAATGAATAGAGGGAAATCTAGTTGGGCTTAAAGGTTCCCTACATATGTTTTACGAGTCATATATGACTTCTATTATTTTCATGCGGTCTTCAGCTGAGTTTCAGTTGCRATAACGTGGCGAAAATGAAGTCGAACCCAAATGGATCGAACTAAGCCATACATAGTAGCCTGAAAGCGATGCAACAAGTGAAAGTAAGTTAYTGATTCGAAATTTGCAATAAAAATAAGCAGTTGTAGCTTGATTACGCCGAAAAGCCGCCTTGGTCTTCAGCATATACTGACAGCCTCTGTTCGGACAGCAGTAAAAGCTGAGTTTATAACATAGTTAGAAACTATGTGAATATTAGAAATTAGCAATCGAAGCTTTGATTGTACAATAGTCAGACTTTCGAAATGCAAAATGACCATCATACAATCAGACAGACGTAT